ATATATATATATATATATATATATACACACACACATATGAAATAGAATTTCTAGATCGTCACACATTTCCTGCTAGACTTCTAGGGATCTGCAACTGTTAAAGAGTTTATAGAGAAAACTTTAGATAGTGATGTGATTTTATCACACACTCATCATCTCATCATATACTATTTTACTTTTGAAACTGTTTTGAGCTTATAGTATTGACTGTGTGCATTTATTTACCTTGATTTTGTCTTAAGCTTCATTTTCATGTCAGGATAATGCATGTGGGTCTCCAGGCCTATCTGACATTTCCAGGATATATTTCGTCTTCAAATCTTTACCTTAAAACACATAAAAAAACTATGTGTGGCTTCAAACAACTCTATGAAATATTAATGTGGACTAAAAAATTATCTGATTCTTTTTTAAGCAATGACAAATCAATCAAATTAAAAGTGATCTTTTAAATTCTAATTCCAGCTCTGACTAAACAAAAAAATGTGTTTACAAATATTGTTGAACAAAAAACAATAAAAAGGTTCATAAAGATTTCCACTGCAAAACTGCTCGTTGTAAATCAATCATATGATAAGCAGAAGGTTGAGCTGATAAGTTCCAGACAAATTAAATCTACTTGTGGTCTCTACAGTAACCAGAAAAAAACAAATCTATTTAACTAATTAGGTTAAAGGAATTGCTTAATGTTATTACTCTAAGAATTTTAAAAATGTTACTTTTTTGTTTCAGCAGTGCACTGATGTTCAGACAATGGTTTAAGAGTATCAATAAATGCTTAACAGATAGCTACTTTAGCAGAAAAGGAAAACGTCCCCTTATTGGCTTTGTGTTATGTAAAGAGATAACATAAAAAAAATAAAAAAATGCACATGTGACAAATGATCGCATATGGTTCAAAACAGTGTGCAAAAGATTCAAAACGTGTTAATGCTTAGGGTAGCAAATTAAAAAATATCTAACCAGATTAAGGATTTCTCCATATTTAGCTCCTTCTATTACCGAATCAACTGTGCATTGCCAATACCTCCCACAGCATTATACCTCTAGCAACTTGTTTCACAATTTAGTCAGTTTGGAGCAGTGGTGTCAGAAGTATAGATGCTGCAGTTTAAAAACACTCTGGTAAAAGTTGAAGTATGAACTTGACCTCTTTACTAAGTAAAAGTGAAAAAGTATGTGCTCCAAAAACTACTTAAAGTATAAGTATAAGCCAAGGATGACGGAGGTCTTGTTGGTCTCAGTCTCCATCTCCCGATACGCTCTCGCCTGTGTCCGACCTTTCAGACATTTCGAAATATTTTTCTGAATCTGACATTGTAGCATGGCATAGACAATTCACGTTTGCAGTTTGAAGAACACCTGCTTGTTTCTGATTATTTCCTTTAGCTAACCAATGAGTGTTTGCATTATATGACTCATCCAATTCCACTAGTTTTCACTAGATGTGGATGGGGCCAATGATCTGCATGACGGGAAATAAATATTATATTATAAACATTTAACCGAAGCCAAGTGTAACAAGTAATGTTTGTTTTAAAAATGTAAGGAATAGGAAGTACAGATATTTGTGTGAAAATGTGATGAGTAGAAGTCAGAAGTAGGAAGAAAAATAAGTAATGGAGTAAAGTATAGATACCTAAAAAGTGTGCTTAAGTACAGTAACAAAGTATTTGTATTTTGTTACTTGACACCTCTAGTTTGGAGTAAAGTATAGGAGTTTAAACTGCTAAAAAGTTAGATTTTGGTTTTATCTAAACAGAGCTCCTTCTTACATTTGTCAATTTTGTTTGTCATGTCCTCAACATGGCTTTAAGGGAATTTGCTGAGTAAAGGATGAAATTCATTGGTGGGCTTTGTTTGCTGATGAGATTAATTCAGAATGTTGCATAGGCTTTTATTCTGAAGTATTTGATTTAAAAGGGCTGAATATAAATCTGCACTTCTTAAATATTTATTTGTAAAATATGTAGAAACCATTACAAATTTTTTTACTTTTAATCTTTGCTTATTTCATACAGTCTTATACAGTCAAAGCAGAATGACTATCTTTACATTTTTTGGCTGTGAGACACCAGCGTGTGAAAGAGCTCTTCTTCTTCTTCTTCTTCTTCTTGGATTTATTGGCGGCTGGCAACAAACATTTAGTAGCATTACCACCACTTACTTGTATGCAGCGTTTTTCGTGATGGACTATCTACTTTATAAACATATATATAATTTCTAAGGGAAAAAACAAAACAAAATTGACATACTTATATCATGCACACACTCACCCTCTCTATAATCACATTCTATGAAATAATTTAGTTTTCTTAAAAAAAATTGAATAATTATTTGAATATGTTTACTCCCCAAATTCTTCCTCATAATATCTACTAAATTCATCTTTTCCTTAATACATTCAAACTCTCTCCTCATATATTTTCTCACTTTCATATTTATGACACTCCAGTATAACATGTTCTATTGTTTCATATTTTTCACAGTAATCACATTTGCCAGTAGTATGCTTTTGAATTTTGAAGTGTATAACTAAGTCCTGTATGCCCAAATCTTACCCTTGTTATCACTCTCCTTCTTTCTATTTCATCTTCCATTTCTTCTTTTTCCTACCATCTTCTGAATTTTATAAAACCACCTTCCTGTTTTATTCTTTATCCCACCTTTTTTGCCATTTTTCCATCAGTTTTTCTTAATAGTACTCTTCCCCTCCGATTTGCTTGTTTTCACTGTACAACTAATAGGATTTTGAATTGCCCTCTTTGTCATTTTATCTGCCCTCTAGTTTCCTTCTACTGCAATATGTGCTGGAACCCATTCAAATAGAACTATTAAACTCATATTTTTTATTCTGAATAATGTATGAAATATTTCTAATAGAATGTCCATTCTACTATCTGATTGGTTGTATTTTAAACTTAATAATGCAGAATTTTAATGGTTTTATATAATCTACCCATTGTAAAGCTAATAATATTGCCAACATTTCCCTTGTGTATACTGATAATCCATCTGAAATAATTTTTGCTATTTTAATATTTAATCCTGGTATTACAAAAGCTGTGTGAAAGAGCTCAGTGGGTGTAATGAGTTTTGGAAGGCACCTTGTGCCGTTGCCTGAACTGTGCCAAGATGATGAGCTTTGGAGGCCAATGCAAACACAATCCAATCCAGCCCTGATTCATTCAATTCTGAGCATGTGAACGCTGCATGATCAGTCGACACCGCGTGACGTCGGCAGCCCGCCTGTCCAATCGCAGCGTCTGTTTCCAGCCTATGGTGGTACAGTAAATACTATCAGCTCTGCCTCCTTCACCCTTTGCTGCAGCGATGAAAGCGAAGGAGACAATCGAGTTACAGCCGCCGATTTGCTATATAACCGTTTGTTAGACGTGAGACATCTTAGTGCCAGAAACTGCCGGCTCTGTGGTTGGTTTTTTTTTTCTGGGACACGGCCGAGTCGTTATTTTTTTTCAATGTTGAAGAAGAACCATTGAAAACTGAGACACGGAGGACTCGGCCCACCGCAGCAGTGAATCACCGCAGGCTCATCCTTTTTTTTTTTTTTTTTTGCGGCCGTTTCTCCGTCGACGTGCGCATCCCCTCGCAGACGGAAAGCAGGAGGAAAAGGGACGGGATCCGAGCTCTGCATTGGATTCTCTGCCGCAGCTCGAGGCGTGCTGCTAGGCAGAGCATGCTAAAGAATGAGCCAAAGGGACACGCTGGTTCATTTGTTCGCCGGAGGGTGAGAAATGTTATACATTTACAGCATTAAAAATAAGTTGCTATCTAATATTTTAGGGGAGAAAACCGGGGGGAAATGGCGCGCGTGCGTGTCAATTATGTGAACGAATTATGTGGAATAGTGCACGTTCATCATGCTGTCAAAACTTCCGGTTTTTTTCCACCTCATTCGCTGCCGACATTATCCGGACAGATTTTACATGGCTTATAGGTCATTACAAACCACCAGAGTAGTGGTTTGATTTAAGTTAGGCTCTTTTGGTTTTTATACCGTTTTAAAAAGCCACGATTTTTCTACAAATCTAGAAAATTCTTTATTTTGACAGGAAGTGGAATTTCATTTCCGGGCTCATTCAAACTCTGTAGATGATTGGAAGCATGCTGCAACCACAGCACTGCTACATCCACTTACTGCCCAAAGGTTTCTATTGTATTTTGCATGTTGGAAAGTAACTAAAAAGTTAACTGATTTTTAATATTTATTTCCGTATGGTAAAAAAGGCAGAATTCTGGCTTTAATCTCAGAATTCTGGCTTTAATCTCAGAATTCTGACTTTTTCCTCAAAATTCTGAATGTTTCCTCAAAGTTCTGACCTTTTTCTGCAGAATTCTGGCCTTTTCCCTCAGAATTCTGAATTTTTTCTCATAATACTGAACTTTTTCTTTAGAATTCTGAATTTTTCCTCAAAATTATGAATTTTTCCCCAGAATTCCGAATTTTCCTCGGAATTCTGACTTTAATCTCAGAATTCTGGCTTTTTTTTCTTAGAATTTTGGATCTTGATGTAAGTGGGTACCATGAAGGAAGGTATGTGGGAGCATTCAGCTTCACTGACAAAAATGGGAGTTGTTTGGGAGAGCCAGTAACACATTGGTGAAAAATGACGAAATTAGGCAATTTTTTGTGTGCCCGAGAGGTCCCCGGTGATGCTATTTCATTATTGGAGGAGCAGAAGGTCATTAAAACAAGAGAGATAGTCTCTAAAACAGACATGGTTACAGCTTGATGCTAACATGTTTGTTTGCTTTTAGAATTCTGAGATTAAAGCCAGAATTCTGAGATTAAAGTCAGAATTGACTTTTTTCCCACATTAAACTGAAATAATATTTAAAAATCAGTTAACTTTTTTATTTTTTCAGTACTCCAAGACACACTTTCTCTTCCAAGACCAGTAGCAGGATTGCTCCTGACCAGTTTCCCACATATAGATCCGCTCACAGACAAGGTTTAAGACATATAGGACACAAGGGTCCACATGGGAATTAAGTATTTCATACACTAACAATCAGAGCTACAAAGTCTGATAAGGGAATTTTAAGGGGGGAATTCACGCCAAGCTGGTTATTCTTAGAGATTAAAGAAGTTTTATCACTTTCAATGGGGAGAGGATGAGAGTAAACTAAAAAATACAGTTATAAGTAGAGAAGAAACAAAAACTTAATATGCTGTGATGTAGGTTTCAGATTAAAAGTAGTTTAAAAGTTTTCTTTAGGTTGTCCATGAATTGAATTTTACAATGTGTAAAACAGGGTTAAATGCTTTCTAAATATCTACAAGTTTCTTTAGAGCTTCAACGTAGGTCCTTAAATGAGAGTATATTAGCACCAGGTTATATTAATGTGGAATAGGAAGGTTCCACTCCATACTATTCCCAAACACTCGAAAGCATCAAATTGTGCAACTTATTTTAGTATGCTGAAGCATTTAGAGCTGAGCCCATCGGCTGAAAAAAAACAGACACACACCACATCCAGAAGCCTTGCCTAATTCTAAACCCAGACCCTTTCCTCGGATTGTCAGAAAGACACATTTATTTGCTTCACATAACACGCCTCCACTGCTCTTATGTACAGTGGTGCCATTGCTTTACACTACTGCATGTGGCCCTTTGTGTTGCACTACATGCAGCTGCTCAGCTGTGGAAACCCATTCAATCCAGCTCTTTATGTATTGTTGCTGGTCTGATATTAAGACCACTTAAGATTGAAGGGCTGTTGCTTATGACTCAACAGCTACTAATACTATCCTATAATTTTCACACGTCCTACGTTTCCCCAGTTTTCAAATTGCTAAAATTATACCAAAAGGGACTGAATATTTATTACTCAAGGAATTAGAAAGGGGTTTAAATTTTAAATAATTAATTGGGTGACATCCTACAACTGTATCTCACTAGAAACAGCAAAGCTGCTGAAGGTGAGTGACTCTTTCAGTGCTTGTAGAAGTAGTCGAAATGCCTCTGATCTTCATTTTATTTACCTGTCTGTGTATATTTGTAAAACTATTAATGATACAAGTGTAACCTATTTTAAAGCAGTGTGTTTTTAAACCTTGTATGCTAGAGCTGATCCCTACCAGCAGCAGAAGGCTCACCTCTTTATCTAAGGGGTTCAAAGGTTCTAAACAGGATAAAAATCAACATTAGTTTGAGAGCTGGCTCGGCCCAGAACTCTTGTTTATGCTCACAACTGAGGTTTTCTAAAAAACAAAACGAAAAAAAAAACAACCAACTTATGCTGTTGATTTGTCTGACAGTGTTTTCATTTAGAAAAATGAAACCGTACACTGCAGGTTTACCAGATATTCAGAGCCAGCTCATCTGTTTTAAATAAACCTGATTGCTTTCAGTGTCTCTGCTGGTTTACCCTCTGTCATCTGTGCACCACTAACTCTCAAATGAGTAATCTCATCAACTGCACAGCTAATCCATTGCAGCTCTTGTCTGGCTACTACAAACTGAAATTGACAGAAACGCATTAATACCACCAATAAAACAGAATTTGTGTCTTGTCTTTCATTTCTTTTGAGAGAAGCCGCAGGCTCCTGCTGCCTTCCCGAACCACATTGAGTCTCAGATATTCAGCAACAAGCCAAGCCCAGAAAGTAGGCAAAGGGTCACCAGTGGCTCTGAGCATGAATGTGTAATGTTGTTTTGAAAGGTAAATATAGCGAGAACCGCTCTAAAGCAGCTCCCTGCCCGGATGGCAGCAGAAACCACTGCAGGGGCACAACTTCTCCACACTTATCACATCCTAGAAACTTACCCTATTGAGATGATTTGCATAAAACCATTTGTTTATATAATAACAAATTCAGTGGCTTTGTCTTTTTAAGTTGCAGCATTTGCAAGTCATCCTTTGCAAAAATAAAAAGCTTTATTAAAGCTTTGATCCCATATTAGTGTGTTAGGAGGAAAAGAACATTAATCAATCACTGTTTTTCCTTCTGTTAAGATATGCAAATTAATACATATTGTTAAAATTATTGGGGTAATTTTCTCTTTTTTTGTGTCCTATGTTCTAATCCTTTTGGCCTTTTTTCTCCTAGATGTGGTGGTACAGTAGGCGCCATTTTGACTTGTCCTCTGGAAGTGGTCAAAACCAGGCTGCAGTCTTCCTCCATCACCCTGTATGTCTCTGAAGTCCAGCTCAGCACCGTTAATGGAGCCAGCGTCGCTCGTGTTTCTCCACCAGGACCCTTGCACTGTCTCAAGTGAGCAAGATATTTATTTTTCATTGTGATTTTAACTTGTCTTTGGCTGTTACAAAATTATAAGAATATAATAGCCTTTGGGAATAAAGCAATAGAAACAAAACTATGTTAGTGTTTTTCACCAAAATCTATAACAAAGTCTAATTAATTGAACTGCAATAACAGAAAACCTAAAATAATGTAAAATGTTATTTCAAAGATGATTATATTACTACACATATTATTTTTCTGATCATGAAATTAGATGCATTTTTCAGGCAAATGTGCATATGTTGCACAATATTATGTCTTTATTTTGTTATGTCCTTTTATAGAGCAGTACCAGGAATGTATCAAGCTAATATTAACTGGTTAATTAGTCAGGCTAACTACTTAACAGGAAGGGGAGGGACACCAACGCTTTTCTGCTGTTTGTGTGGGTTTTAATTTTTTACCCTGTCTTTAATAAAGCTAGTGAATATTTATCTTTTTTTTTTTTCTGGACTAGATTTATATTAATAGTGTTGTATAATTTGCCTCATTGTCAAAACTATTCTTATTGAAGCCTTGAAGGAAACTGGTGTTGTGGCTAAGGTTAGATAATAATAAAGTCAGCTATGTAAGGTGTTTTTTGGTTGCAAATATTAAGGTTTAACTAACTGAAGAGTTGGAATTATTCTGATTCAATTAAATAAATATATTTCTGTAATTCTTGCATGATTTACAGCTTTTTTATCGTTTTATCGTTATTGTTGAGAAAAGTCACAATGACAGATGTGAAAGACAGGAGTGAGAGGAAATGAGGTTGGGGAGGTTGCAAACAAAATTAATTTTTATTCTGTGCAAAAGTTATCTTCAGATTATAATCCGCTGAGCTACTTTTTAAAGAAAAACTCCAACCAAGACGTCTGAGACGGCCAGCACTGATAAACTGTCTGTCTTCAGGTTTTTGTTATCAATAGCATTTACATAAGACTTTTGACCTTGTTTCTCTTTTTATCTCTGGGGTTTTCCTTAACTATTTGTGTGCTAAAGAAACTGTCCTTTATAGTAAATAACAACCAATTCCTCTTTAAAAGTGGAAAGATACGCTTCAAGATGAATGGAGAAGTGAGAGTTAAGGGGAATTTAGACGAGCTGTGTTCGTTTGGATAACGCGTGGTTTTTGTTAAATTCAAAATAAATCTCAACCGCTTGAAAATATGGTGTTTTCAAGTAGATATTTCTAAAAGGTGCAGCTGTTGTTTTCTGTAGCAGAGCATGCAGTGTCACAGAGCGCGCCACTCGGTTTAAAACATATTGCATAATTCACAAGCTGCTGTGTGTGGAAATTTCCACTGCAAAATGTCTGCAACAATATCCTGCTCATTGGGATTGTTAGATAATCTGATGTCATGTGGCCAAACGGCTATTAATTACCTATTAAAGTTATTAAAGTCTGCATTGAGAGGAGATTGCTAAATAAAAATCCCACTGTTCAGAATGGATCTTATTTCCCAACTCTCCTGTTTTATAATAAGTGTGCATATCTAGTTTGCTTTTTGTTGCACAATCTGTTATTACTAGCTTTTTTCAGTCTGTCAAACAAGATTCTCCAGGATTTTGTTTAGTACATCTGGGCCGGTGCCGTGTTTCAACCAAGTGCATTGGAATCCGGGTGTGTTTTTGTGCTCAACAATCCTCTATTTCCAACATAAACTGATCCCTCGTGTCGCCCTTGACACAAGCAGGCGTTGGCAGGAATGGAAAGACGGGATGCGATGCATAGTGCAGAAGGGCTAAAGAGGGAAACGCTTTAGAGAAGGGGAAGGCGATAACTGACACACAAGCCAAAGTGGGTCAGGATGCAGACCCAGTTCCATTTTAAATTTAATTGGCTCCAAACTCTTTTATATTAGCTGCTCTGCTTTGTCTTCTGAGGAACTACTGATGTATTTTTTATATTAATGTTAATATTAATATTAACTTCCATATGTCTTTATGAAATCAAAGATAGATACCCTAAACAACGAACAGTCAGAAGAAAAAATATCAAAGGAAGATCAAACATCTGCCATTTTGACAGCTGACCTTTATGGTCTATTTATAAATTGGTTTGGTGTCCTGTGTCTTGCCAGAATGTCTTCTTGCGATCCGCTTGGCCGTACCTTGGATCAGTGTCCTTGTGAAAAACGTGCATCGGGTCAAGTTGACATGATTTTGAATCAGGTTACTGGGTTAGCCTGGATGCAGAACAATCTTTAAACTGACCAAAGGAAAACACGTGAGCTGCCTCAGTCAACACAGGCGGCTCGACAACACGTGTCTACTCACTTATTTTGGATTTTGCTGCATGTTATTTGTCACTCCCTGTTCTAGACTTTGCTCCTGTTTCTAATTTACCTCTCCTGTGGTAAAAGAAACCACCAACAACAGCTGGACTATTTCTTTTTCAAATAATAAAAAAACAAGATCATTTTAAAGCACCATCTTATTGCTGTTAATTATGCTCGTATGCTGTTAATTATGAAGGACTGATCCACAGTGACCTATTTTTGTGTTTCTGCAGGTTGATTTTAGAGAGAGAAGGAGCCCGCTCACTGTTCAGAGGACTGGGTCCCAACCTTGTAGGCGTGGCACCTTCCAGGTATGTATAGGATTATCTGCTGTGTTTTGAGTTTGTTCTCTGGCTTCTGTTTATTTAGAGCCAGAGGTAAAGTGAGTGACATGTTTTTCTCGGCCACCCAAAGACTTCTTGCACTAGTTAAAAAGGGTTTATGCTAATCCTTATTAAGGTGTGATTTTGGATGTTTTTGCATTGGGAATAAATAACTTTAGGCAGAAACAAAGAACTTTTTAACAAAGGCCGTTTTTTGAAATTTCTATTGCTTTATTTTTTAACAATTACAGAATCTTATCCAGTAACCGGAAATGCTCAGAGAGAGAAAACGAAACAAAAAGTGATAACTTTGACGTGTTTTATATCCTAACAAATCTGGAAAAGTAGCTCACTGCAGCCTTTAATTGGAAGCAAAAACCATTCTGTTATCTGTACTTGCAAATCTCTGCGTCCTTTATACACAATACTTTTCTAGTGGGATGTCAGTCATTAGTCTTTTTTCGTTGAATACTTATGTTGACATTTTACTAACCAGCATGTAGAGAAATTAAATTCTCTGTTGCAGCAGAGGAGGAGGAATCTCTGCTTCAATCTGATTGGAAATGATCAAACTCTGATTCTTGTTTGTTGCATTGGAGTTGGTAAAGGCTTAAGGCTGATTTATACTCAGAAACCAGGTCATCTGCGTGTGTTGCAGTGAATGCAAATGTGCCCCTGCCCCTGCTGCAGACACTCTGCTGCAGCTCTCCAAAATTGTAGGTGACCGCAGACAGTGCTGCAGACAGGGGGCATCTGATTGGTCAAATCTACATCCGCTCTACACTACGCGCATTTCCTGTTTGGTACCTTACAGGCTTGTTTTGTTTGTATAACTGCCACTGTGGAAAACGGCTCGTGAAGATGGACCAGCTAGAAGAGCGAGGTGCGTGAGAACGCTGGGACCCTTTTTCTACCTGGATCCCCGCTCTTTTTCGCCATCATTTCCCTCCGTTGTCGGACAAACTGTCCCCACCTCCTCACCGCCTAGGCCGTATCTAGACCCACAGCTAGTTTGTGATTGTCCCTCTTGCTTTGTGGCGTTGAATAACTTGGCGCAGACCACGCTGCAATATTGGGCATAAATCAAAAGTATCTGCGACAAGTTTACTGAGACACACTGCTGTGGGAGTATAACCAGCCCTATAGAGCCATCCTTTGTGAGTAACGCAAAATTAGGCTCTCAGGGTCATGCCAACCTCATTCTCGTTCTCTCAAAAATATTATTTCTGATTTCTATACTCGTTGTAGTTTTGGGTCCGTTGATGGCCAGGATATGCATTTTAGAGGAGGATGGGGATTCACCGGTTTGGCCCCTGGCTCTTCATGTTCAAACGCACTTTAACCTCTGATAATGTTTACAGAAGTGCACATGTAGAATCTGTGTTAGTAGCTTAGAGGCATAGCTTAGAGGAACGTCTTCAGTTACAAACTATTTATCCAATCTTCAAATATTCACTATGAACTGATCATGATTGTTCTGGCTGATACTAATCAAGACCAATTCTTTCTTTGTTTAAACACTAAAAAGATTAAATAAGTGTTATTTAATAGAGATGGTATCTCTATTAAATAAGACAGGAAGTGAAGGGATTGCACATTAGTGCTTCACAGCATTTGCTACCTTTATTTATCTGATTGTGTTTGGCTAAAAAGTTGAGTAAAGAGTTGCTCACTTCCTGTCGATTGGGGCTTTGAAGAACTAACACCTTATATTGTTAAAAAAACACATACACACACACACCGAAGAATACCAATGAAACAAAACAAACTTGTTTTATCTGCACATGAATTAGAGCTTTGAAATCTAAATGAAAAGCGTAGAACATTAGCGGCTAGTGATTTTCAGCCGTTTACGGAGGCAGATAAAGTTGATGGATAAGTTGGTTGGCCAATTAGTGCAGCCCTTTGAAATAAACAACAAAACCTCCAAAATGCACTTTTCAGTATTTGACCTGCTAATTGCTATTTAGACACAATTAAATGGATTCATGGTGATTCATTTAGAGCTTCTTAGTTCCCTGATGGCCATTAAAGGTGTATTAATGGTGTATTGAAGCCAAGTGGGTTTAGATGCTCTTTGATATGTGGATATTTATGTCCCATGGCCCAGCTACATATCCTGTCTTATTTTTTTAAACCAGGTAATATTTTGTTGGCATTTAGATTATTATTACTGTAATGTGTTGGATGTTTAGAAACGGGAATCTATGAAGAAAGATGCGACAAACAAATTGGCAGGACAGGAAAACAGAAAAACGAAATGTGCATAAAATGCCTAAATTAACTGAGCATTTTAAAT